CCCCCCACCCCCCACCCCACCCCACCCCACCCCACCCAGTCCTCGGTCATGGCTGGGACTTCCCGCAAGCGACGACGGCGACAGTCCAGTCGCGGGAGTCGACGGCGAGCCAGCCGGCGCCGAGAGCCAGGAGTGGTGGTTGGTGTGCCGTCTTCTCAAGGTGGTGATGACGACCAGGAGGACGTGTACCAGGACAGCGAGGACCAGGACGACGTGTACCAGGACGACGCGTATCAGGACAATGACCAGGATACAGGAAGAAGTGTAGCAGCTGCCGAGACTAATGGCCATCATCATGCTCCTCTGCCTCTTCCGCCACCGCCAAGCAAGCGGGCAAGGACTCTGTCGCACGGCCCACCCTCGCCACAAACTACGACCTTTTCTGGCCGCGCCTCCCTCTCCCGCTCTCGCTCGGCAGCAGACCGCAGGAAGATGGTCCAGCAGCGCATGCGTGCCCTTCGCAACAAGCGCTCCCTCCCACAGGCCCAGGTTGGTTCGGGCCCAGTGCGTCCGGTCTCACCCTCGGCTTCCCGGTCATCGTCGGCTTCGCCGGCCGAGCCGCCGCGCCTGTCTGCCCGCTCATCGCCGCGCCCCTCCTATGTCCCTGCCTCACAGAACTCCGAGGCCGATGACGACGAAAGCTGCGAGAGCGATTGCAGGGATGGCCGCAATGACCGGTGTGGGCCTCACCTGGTTCACGGCGTCAATGCCTCATCGTCCGATGACGACAACCCGTCGCCAGCGTCACCCCAGGATGGAGTGCCGGCCACCCAATCTTCGCCCATGGCCCTCTCGCAGACATCGGACCTGGATCGGTTCCCTGGAGTCGCCACAATCCGCCAGGCCCAGAGCAGCTTCAACTTGGCCTGCTCACGCCCGACATCTTTGGCGACTCGCGCCGCGGTGGACTCCGCCGCTCACCATCGGCCTCAACCGGCTCGGCCACCACTGCTACCGCCGCTACCGCCGCTACCGCCGCTACTGCCGCTACTGCCGCTACTGCCGCTACTGCCACCACTGCTGCCATGCCGGGTGCTAGGTCCACTGAGGGCCCGCATCCGCCCACGGTGCTGCAGCTCGACGTGCCACTCTTCCGCGTCTCACCGGCTGCCACCGCTGCAGTCCATGAGCTCAGACTTGAAGGCCTCGGGCCAGGCCCGGTTCTTGCGCTGCAGCTCCAGTCGTGGCCAGCCCGCCACGCGCATGCCCTGATGGCGTGGACCCGTGAAGGTGTTGCAGTGTGGCAGGTTTGCGGCGCGGGAAAGCTCGCCGAGCGCGTCCTGCTCATCAACGACAGCGACCACGAGATATCTACCGCCACCCTCGCTGCCGACGGCTCGCGAGTTGTTGTCGCCGAGTCTGATGCCATTCGCATTATCGATGTCGCCTCTGGCGTCCAGCTTCTCGAGTGGTCCGTCGACGCGGGTGCGACCGTCTCGCACCTACTCGCCGTCTCACCGTCGGCTATTGTCGCGGCCACTGCCGCCCCGGCGCGGCTGCATCTCTGGACGCTGGCCCTTGGCTGGTCGTCGCCACCAAGTAAGATGGCGCTCTCTCTCGATCCACTGGTGGCTCCGGCCGATGCCGCGCACCTCTGCCTCTCGGGCCTTGCTGCTGTTCGCGGCGCCGACCACCTTGCCGCCGCCTGGTCGGCCGCCGGCGTCGCCGTGTGGGACACATCGCCGCTCGCCGGCGGCGCTCTCACCCACCTTGTCAGCTTTACCACGCCAATGTCTCTGGTGGCGCTTGCTGTCGACCCGGGTCGGAGCGGCGAGCGCGTACTCTTTCTCTACCACACCACCGCCACCGGTCGCATAGCTGTTGCCGCCGCACCTGACGCTGCGCCGGTCCCGCTTGGCCTCGACCTCGGCGATGCCTCCGCATCCGCCATCGGCGCCAAGTTTGCGGCCCTTGTCCGCCGCTCTCGCTCGCCAGCGAGCCTCCCGCACCTCGCGCTCTGCCTCGCTGCCACCGGGGACGTCGTCGCCGAGCTCTTGCCGGCTGATGACTGCCGCGCGAGTGCGGCGCCCGGCGACGACACCGTGGCGCTCGCCGAATCCCCGCTCGCCGTTATCGCCGCTGCTGCGTGCGGGAGCACGTTGGCGCTTGTTACCTTGTCCAAGGCGATACGGCAGTAGTGTTTGCTTTACACGCTGACAGGCTGGATGAGGTCAAAGGCGCCTGTCCCGGTTGGCACCAGCTGGCCAAGGACGATGCGCGACGAGGGCGATTTGAGCGGGTCAAAGTCGGCACGCTCGGCCGCGTCCTTGATAACGTTCATGGTCGTCTCAAAGGTCATCTTGGAGAGCGGGGCGACGTCCTTGGCCATGGTCATGCGGTTCATGCCGCGGTACCCGCCCTCGTTGGTCATGTAGTCTGCGACGAGGGAGAGGTGGCGCGGCGAGACCGAGATGTGGTAGACGTCGAAGACGGCACCGATCTCGTTCATCAGCGTCGTCCGCGCAGCCTCGACGCCAAGCGTCTTGAGGATGGCGTAAATGTCGTTGCACGAGATGTGGTCGACGTCGATGAGCTTCTGCGCCATCCACGCGGCCTCAAAGTTGACGCCCTGCGACTGGACAGCAAAACGCTTCGAGTCGTCCGGGTGCGGGACGACAAAGCACCGCGAGATGTTGTCGGTCGACTGGACAAGCGTCTTGCCGAGCACCAGCTGCACAATGTCGGTCATGAGCAGCCGCGGCACGTTGATTGGGATCGAGACGGTAAACGTGGCCTTGCCATTCTCGACTCGCACCTCGGAGACCATCTGCGCCGACGACTTGCGGAACGTCGTCGTCCGCAGCTCCTCGATCTCTGCCCGAATGTCAAGGATCTTGCGCGCGTGCGCCGAGATGCCCTTCATCGTCGTCGCCGCCGAGCTCGAGAACAGCTTGTTCTCGACGTCCATGTCGGCGACGCCCGAGCCGGACGACTTTCCAGCCTCGGACGACTCGTCGTCCGAGTCCGAGCCGGTCGCCTCGCGCTCATCGTCCGAGTCGGTGTCAAAGAGCGAGTCGGTGTTGGCGCCGTCGTCGGCCTGCGGGCCAAGCTTCTGCGCCGCCGCGAGCACGGCGTCGTCGTCGCCCTCGCCGGCCTCGCGCTCGTCGTCCGAGAACATGTCGGCCACGTCCTCGTCGTCGGCCACTGCCCGCTCGTCGTCCGACTCGTCATCGTCCGAGCTTGCCGCCGCAGCCGACCGCGCCCGCGAAAGCTGTCCTGCCGCTGGTCGCGCGTCGCTCGCCGGCGCCGCCTCGCCCGAGGCCTCGGTCTCGGCGAGCTCGTCCTCGGACGGGCCGTCGAGCTTGAGCGCGGTGAGCATGTCCACGTCACGGCCTGCGCGCCGGAGCTCGCGGGTGATGGCCGCATTGAGGTGCACCACAAAGGCGTCGTTAAACGCGTTGCGCACCGCGTCGAGCGACGTTGAGTACTCGGCTTCGAGGACCTCGGCGTCGACGAGCGTCGAGGTGACCGCAAAGGTGCGGAACCAACCCGAGGCGCCGCGGTCAACAACCGATTCGACGGCCGAGACCCTTGTAACAAGCTCGAGAAGCTGGAGCCGGTAAAACGACTTGGCAAGCGCAGTCGCGGTCGCCTCGTCGACGTCGGGCTTGAGCGGGAGCAGCATCGTCGGCGTCTTGATGTTCTTCTGCGCCGTCATGATGATCTCGCGAAGTCGCGGGATACCGAGCGTCACGTTGGCCGCACCGACGCCGGCAAAGTGGAAGGTGTTGAGCGTCATCTGCGTCGACGGCTCACCAATCGACTGCGCAGCGAGGAGGCCGACAGCCTCGCCCGGCTGCGCCAGCGCGCGGAGGTACCGGGTGTTGAGGAACATGCGGAACTCGTTAGTCGCCGCCTTGTCCATCTCGGCCTTGGCACAGTACTCGGCGACCTGGGCGTGGAACTTCTCAGAGACCGCGCCGAGATGGGTGTACGGGTCGAGTTCGGCGAGGACCGGGTCCGGAAGCTCAGCGCCGGTCGCCGCAGCCTCGGCGATCTTGCGCGACTTGCGGAAGCCCTTGGAGATGTCCATAGCACCTGCGAGCTGGCCGAGCTCCTCGCGATTGAGCAGACGTTCCTTGTTGTCGGCCAGAAAGTCAAAGTGGGTGAGCCGCGACAAGGCCGTCACGTCGAGCGCGTCCTCGCCGTAGCGGAACTGGACGACCGAGCCTTCGGGCGTGCGGACCGTGGCGTCGTAACCCACCACCAGTCCCTCCATGTGCTTGACCAGGCACCGCTGCAGGTAGCCGGAGCGCGAGGTCTTGACGGCGGTATCCACGAGGCCCTCACGACCGGCCATGCAGTGAAAGTAGTACTCCTGCGGACGGATGCCCGAGAGGAAGCGGTCGGTAATGTAGCCACCGGCCCGTGGGTGCGCCTCGTACGGGAGGAAGCACGGGAGCGTCTTGCCCGAGGCCATGATAGGCACGCGCTGGCCCTCGAGCGACTGCTGGCCGAGGAGGCACGTGATCTGTGCCTGGTTGACGGCAGAACCCTTGGCGCCGGACATGGTCATGAGCGACATGTTGTTGAGCGGGAAGGCCTTGAGCTGGCGGTGCGGAATCGACTCGGCCATGACGTCCGAGGTGACCTGCGAGAGCGCGCCTGACATGATGCCGTCGAGCGCCGGCTTGGCGTTCTCGGCGCCAAACGCGGCCTTGAGTGCGCCGCGGAGGAGGCCCGGCTCGACCACGCCTGCGTCGTCCTCGTTGTACCCACAGAACATGGCGGCGGTCTTGACGCCGACGTCGACGGCGCGGTTAAGGAGCTTCTTGCGCACACCCTCGCCCTCGGGCGTGAGCAGCAGATCGTCGATGCCACAGGTAAAGCCGTTGAACTGGAGGTAGGCCGTAAAGAGGCGGCCAAAGGCCGTGAGCGTCTGCCCGGCCACCCGTGGGCCAAAGACCGAGAACACGCCGTGGACAAGACCCTGGTTCGTCGCACCGAGATGCGCCTTGTCGAGCGCACCGGTGACGAGGACGCCGCGGTGGACGCGGACCATCGACTCGTCGCGGAACGACGCCCAGGTATCGGGCTGGATCTTGGTCTTGGCCTGCACGGTGAGCGCTGCCGGCGAGCCGGGCGCTTCGCCAGTCAGGTTGTACAGGATGGTGGTGATGACCTGCTTGCCGGTCCAGAGCTTGTGCGGCTTGAGGAGCGCAGGTGGGACGGTGACAAACTTGGTGACAAAGGCAGCGCAGGCGGCGTAGACCAGCTGGTGGTACGTCTCCTCGTCGATGAACGTGTTCTTGACCGTCAGCCGCACGCCGGCCACAATGTGGTCCTGAATGAGACCACGAATGGGCGAGCCGTCGGTCGGCACAATGTACTGGTTGTCGGTGTTGGCAATGGTGTAGCCCTCGGCCCGGGCGAGCTCCGACTGGGGAAAGTGGAGGTTGATCTCGTCACCGTCAAAGTCTGCGTTGTAGGTCTTGCAGTTGACGTAGTGCATGCGGATGACGTTCTCGCCCCAGAGCACCCGCGCCTTGTGCGCCATGATTGACGGCTTGTGGAGCGTCGGCTGCCGGTTGACAAGAAGCACGTCGCCCGAGCGCAGGTGCCGGAGCACGTACTTGGGCTTGGGCTGGGCGTCGAGCGACGACGACGGCGTCGTCAGCTGCTGCGCCAGCGTCTCGCGCACCGCCCGCGACTTGTGCATGAGCGAGACGAGCGAACCGTCCTCGTTGCGGATGTGCGTCGCGCCCGGGTACACGTCCGGCCCGTTGATGACCGCCGCCCGGAGGAGCTCAAGGTTGTGGTTGCCCACAGGCTCGGGATACGTCAGCGTCATGGCAAACCGGCCGGGCACGCCGATCTCCGACACGTCGATGTTGGGGTCGGGCGAAATGACCGAACGCGCCGCAAAGTTGACTCGCTTGCCCATCATGTTCTGCCGGAACAGGCCAGCCTTCTTCTCCAGCACTTGCTTAATGCCCTGCGGCGCAGACATCGGCGACGCCGACAGATCGCGGTCCATGATCCCGTTGACCGCCATCTGCAGCTCCATCCACATCCGCAGCGACTTTTCCACCCGTGACACGCCCGACATGTCGCCGTACTCGCTCGCCTCGTCGACCTCCTCGGTCATGTACTGGACGAGGACTTGGTTGATGGCAAGGACCTTGGAGAGGAGCACGTTCGAGTGGTGCTCGGACACCACGCCGCCCACAAACGACGGCGGCCGGAACCGGTTCGGCGCCACAGGCATGACCTCGATGAACAGCGTGTCCGCGCTCGGCAGCTTGCCGCCGAGCTCCGAGAACATGCAACCCATCATCTGCGGGTGCGCAAGGAAGAGTGCGCGCATCCGCTCGCGGACCTCCAGCGGCGTGATGTACTTGAGCTTGGACTGCGCCGACATCTTCTTCCGCGCCTCCACCACAGCCTTGGACGTCCGCGCCATGCCGGCCTTACCGGCCACCGCCGCCGCCGCAATCCGCGCCCCGTCACCATCCTCGCCGTCCGACAACTCGTCGTCCGACGACTCCTCGCCCTTCTCCACAGCCTTGGCCTTGGCCGCCGCCGTCTTGGCCTCCAGCTTGCGGTGCAGCGAATCGAGAATGTTCGGCTTGACGTCCGCGGCGGCGGCGGCCGCCAGACCGGCCCGCCCGCCGCGGACCGGCGCCGGGCCGCGGAAAAACCGCCCGCGCTTGTCCCACGTGATCGGCGGCGACTTGCGCGCGCAGTCGGGGCACGTTGCCGCCGCTGCCGCCGCATGCCAAAACTCACGGAGCGTGTCCTGCAGCATGTTCTCGATGAGCAGCGACTTGTTCGTCCGGTAGTGCGCCCGTAGGTGCTCCAGCCGCTCCAGCGAGACCAGTGTCGTCGTCAGGTCTGCCAGGTACTTGGTATACGCCGCCGCAGAGTACGATGTCAGCGTCAGCGTCGCGCGGTCGTCCTCGTAGAAGCCCTGCTCCGGGAGCGACGCCCCAGTCTTGAGCTCGTCCGAGTGCTGCGCCGCAATCGCAGCCTCGGCTGCGGCACGCCGCTTGCGAGCTGCCTTTGCTGCCTTCTCTGCAGACTTGACCTTCTTGGCCTTGCCCTTCGCCGCAGCCTTGGCCGCCTCGGCCTCCTCGAGCGCAGCCACGATGGCGTCGACCCGGTCCGGATTCTGCTGATCAGCAGCAACCAGGAGCGGCGCGAGGTGCGCAATCGGAACAAGAAGTTTGCTGCCTCCGGCCTTCCGCGCCGCCACGGCGTCCTCGTCCTCGTCGATCCACCCGGAAAAGACCCGGAGCGGCGTGCCAAAGGCAGGGAGCTCGAGCGCAAACCGATGGAGGCCGGCGTTGAGCAGCGAGATGCGGGCAGAGATGTTCGCGAGCTTGATCTCGGGCGCACGGAGCTTGTGGCAGAACCAGCATTGTGCCCGGAGGAGCTTGTAGATCTTGGGCAGGAAGAGCGGGTGGTAGACCGGGAGAACAAGCTCGATGCGGCCCATATGCCCCGGGCAGTGGGCCTGGACAAGCGAGCACGTCGGGCAAGTCTGGAACCGTTCGAGTGGGCCCATCGCCGGGTCGTACAGCCCGCCAGACACAAAGTTGCCCAACGAGTCTGCAGTCACAGGCTGCTCCACCTTGACGTGCGCAATCGACCTCAGCTCGTCAGCCGTGTAGTACCGCAGCCGCGTCGCCGCAATGGTCCCGGGCGGTGCGCCCCGCTCGGTCATGGTCTCTTTCACACACACAGAGAGAGCGCGAGAGAGAGATAGAGGGTATGGGGAGGGGGGGATTCACACAAGTAGCCGAGCACAGGTGGGATGGCCTTGTTTGCCGAGTGCGGTGTGCCGTCCCGAGTACCGAGTGGGTGCGCGTCGCCGTGGGATGAGCTGGATGAGAGATGGATGTCTGCCGACAGTATTTGCATCGGTGGGGGGGGGGGGATGGGGGGAGGGGGGGTGGGGGGGGTGACAGAAAGTAGTTTTGGGGACCCCCC